CGCCGGTGCCGCCTGGCCGGGGCTCCGTGCTGCCGTCATCTCGGAATTACAGAATCCATTGGGTTGGAAAACACCTCTAAGATCATCGAGTCCAACCTGCGACCGGACACCACCGTGCCGAACAGACCGTGGCACCGAGCGCCACGTGGAGCCCTTCCTTAAACACCTCGAGGGACGGTGACTCCACCACCTCCCTGGGCAGAATTCCTCCGAATGCCCAAGCTAATGCTGGACAACCAGCGTGCCCCTGGCAGCCGTGCCGACATGGTCACTGCCTGTACTCCAAGAGGAGGAGAGTGCTGGAGCAAGCCCGAGAGCAGGGCTGTCACCCGGGTTAGTCACACCACCAGGGGCTGTGGATGACAGGCCCTCCTCTCCTTACAGCAGAAATGGTGTCCAGAGACCCTCTGCGCTCCCTCCAGCGAAGAGAGAGCAGCTCTTGCCCTCTTTCCAGGAGCTCCTCCCAGGCAGCACAAGGAACAAGGCAAATAGCCCAAAAATCCTATGCTTGACCCTCATTTACACAGAAGGATTACCCAGCCCGGGGACGGAAAGGGCAGGGACTGGCCTGCAGCAGTCAGAGGTATCCCAAGCTGTGGTTACAGGGTGGTCCTCATGCCCAGAATGCTTTAGGTTTTTGATTTTCATGCTCATTTCCTTGTACTGCCCTAAGCATTTTTCTTTTCTTTGTTTTGTTTGCCTGTTTTAGCTTGTACTGTAAAGGCACATAGGAATAGAAACAGTATAGGTGACAATCTTTCTCTTGGTGATTGTTGTCTAAGAATAATGAGAAATGCCATGTTTCATCAGCTAAGTCAAGTCTTCTTGGAAACTTCTCTTACCTTACACTGCTTTTCATCTTTCCAATCAGAAACCATTGTACCCCAATTCCCAAATTCTTATATCCCAATCCAGCTGCCTGCACACTATCACCTATAGGCAAAACACATCTTCTATTTTCGCATGCCTCAGTATTTCTTGCATAAATGTTATGTTCTGGTTCGTGTACCTTGTACAGAACACTCCCTTGTTTGCCCACCATTGCTTTCTCTCTCATTTCTTCCCTGTATTAGCTTCTCAAAACTCATCTCCCATCCTTCCTTTCTTCCTCCCTCCCGTCTGTTTCCAGCTAAGGAAAGCTTTTGGGACCTCTGTTTCTAGATTTTCTCACCTGCCTTCTCTCTTCTTTACAACTGGTGAATCAATGTGCTCAGCTTTAGTATTTCTTGGTGTCAATAGTTGCTTTCCAAAAGGCCCTCAGATGCCCACTTAAGAACTACTTCAGTTTTCCACCCTAAACTAAAGTTTTACTGGGCCACCCTGATCTGACGGTGCTGCCATGTTCTGCCCGTTCCACCCCAGGGAATGCTTTGGTGTCCCCACCTATGCCCCATTCCTGCCTGGCATCACTCTTGGCTTCCCATCCACACTTCAGCCTTCCCCCCCACAAACCCCAGTGCTGTACTCCTGAAGAAACACAGCTTTTCTAGCATTTCTTCTGTAAATGTATTTGCTGAAGGATCACAGGTGGTTCTTGTGGTAGAGGAAGTCCAATCTGTCTTCATTTGACATAGGCAGGAAGGAGCAAAGCAGGCAGATCTCTAGAGCTTTGACAGCTTTGTAGTAGCCCAAAATCTTCCTCTTATCTCCACAGCAATTGTAAAAACGACACTGCTCTGGTAAGCCAGATGTATTTATTTTCAGTATGAATAAATGTACATTTCCTAACCTTCTTTTCAGAAGCAGCTGAACTATCTAGTCTGGTGCTTCTCTCCACCAAAAGTGCTTGCTTGCAGCAATATTCACATAGCAAATTCAGCCTGAACAACTGTCTTTTAGCAAGTACATTACCTTGGGAATGCACTCACAGTGTCAGACAACCTTGCCAAGCATCGATAATACCAGGTCAGCCCAGAATACACGTTTTGAATAGCTGGGACAGCTTGTCTTTGTACACACCGATGGGTACAGATAAGGCAGGAGACAGGACAGGGAGAAAAGGAGTGTCCCATACAAACATCTGGAGACAGGGTGGACTCCAAGGACCTCATTGTCATCTTCAAAAGCGGTAAAATAATGTCTGCTAAGCTGTAATTGTTGCGTGCTTCAGCGTTTCCCTCTCTCTGCCCTGGGCTGGTTGCACCTCCTCGTCCAGCGCTTTGCTCAAGGCAGCTCCGCAGGCTCCCATCCGCGGCAAGCCTCCACCCGAACCGGCCGCTAACGCCCTGAGCGGGGTGACCACAGCTTTTGTGTTGTGGCATCCCCTGCACAGAACAGCTCAGCACTGAGCACCTTCCCTTGGAGCCTTTGCCATTGTTCTGTGTGCCACTGCTCTCCCAGCGCCAGCAGGGACCGGCTGATCCTGGCAGGGCAGCTCTGAGTGGGGACCATTTCCCTGTCGCCAGGCTGGCTTCTTGCACTGTGCTCTAACACTCCCTGCTTTTTCGCTCGCCTACCAGCAACGACGGGAATGAGACATCTGTAATTGTTCTGCCCTTGGCAGGTGGAAAACTGCTGCTAATCTAGGCCTTAATTAATTTTTTTTTTGCCTTCTTAGGCATAAGTAGTATATGGAGAAAAGTTACAGTGGGTTTTCAGATAGGAAAATGGATGTCCTTTAACCACTTTACAGGGAAAAAGAGAAAAAATAAATTATTTTTCATCAGTGGTTAATTAGTATACAGCCATTATCTGTAGCAGCTCCAATGCTTTTCACCATGTCTGGATGTCACCAGAAAATCTGGTATCAGACTGATGTGTATCTGTGTGGGCATACATGTTGTGCAGCAAAGACTTAACATTAACAGGATAAGAATATTTAGATAACGTAAGTTTGAAAACAGAAAATATGGCTGTTGCCTTGTAGAGAACCTTTTAACTCTCTTTTGTTTACTTTCTTCACTCATATTTGGCACAGCTATACTCTACTTGGCAGGCAAGTGTAAGAATTCTGCAGTGCATTTAGAGGATAGTAGAGAAAAAAAAATAACTTCTTACATGGGTGAGGTTTTCACTTATTATAAACTGGTCAGTGTTTCCTCTACCATCACACACCACCTCCTTTTTGTGCATGTCTGCCCTTGCCAGACTGCCTGCCCTGGGATGAACCTTTACCAGACTGCAGCTAGAATTCACTAACTAGCACCTGTAAAGTTGGTAGCAGCAGAGCTGCTAGCATTGTTAGTTTCCTAGAATATTTTTCGGGCTACTTCATGTCATCCAAAGCGACTGTATTCTGGTGATCAAAGTCCAGCAGGCGAGGATATAAATAAACACGGTTCACAAACACTGTCATTTCTCTTATCAAACTACTCTGAATGTTCAGGAGGGTAGTGGGTACAGTACAGTCAACAGACCCCACAGATGCAGCACTGACCTTTCATTTTCTAGCTGTGGAAACTGTGCTTTGGCATTACTCAGGTCTTAGAAGAAAGATGTATAGACTTGATTGGTCGTGCTTTCTCAAATATATTATTAGCATACCCTCTTCTAAAAAGTCTGTCATTGTCTTTACATAAGCATATATTTAATTTTACTCTGCAGTAATAATACATATTTGCTAGTGTGATAATTAATGAGGAAGTAACAGATTTGCACTTGCCTATACAAACACTATTTTCCCATGTTGTACATAAGCACTAAGATATGTATTATTACTAGGGTTTCTTGCAGTTTGTGTCTATCCCTCTCTGTAACACAAAAATCTCATTTATCCAGTCTCAATACATTTTCAATCTGCCCTTCATATGCTTTCTCAAAATTGACATTATGTGGAAAGAGAGGAAACGTGGTATCTCAACTTCGTGTAGGACTTCAGATTTTAAAAATATGCTCCTTTACATAAAGAAGTTAATGAATAAGGCAAATGGAAGTATCAAAATAATTACCTAGTTAAAAATTGATGCAGAAACTACTAGTCCTTTATTAAGTTCTATTAGTCTGTTTCTTTTACAGGAAACTCTCTTTTTAACTTTGCTGAATGTTTTCCAATAGTATTAAAAGTAGTATCCAAGTATCAAAATACCCAGCATTTAGTCCTGCTATTTTGTACCATGTTAATTTTCAGTAGCAATCATTTTTTGCCATGTTCCTCTATAGGGGAGAAGAGCTATCAGGTGCATTTGTGGAGAGTTGACAATCTGATAATGGCTTTTTTTTTTTTTTTCTTTAAATGTCATCACATTAGTCTCCTCTCAGTATAAAAGTCTGTAAAACACAATAAGCTGCAGGACACTAATACACTAATTTCTCAGGTATTTTCCCCCTCATCCTTTTCCATTTCTCTGTAAATACACACTTCGATGCAGCTGGACAAGTGTAGTGTTTAGTAACTAGAACAACACAAAGGCCAATATGTCAATAAAACTATTTAGAACAGGAAACTAATGGTGAAACTATTACTGATCATTTTGAGAGCTGAGCAGCACCATGTTAGTACCATAGTAACTGAGTTTAGAAACAGTGCATTCCCTTCAGTTGTGGATTTAGTTAAACTCTGGGTGTTTTTTAAGAATTTCTGTAAACTTTCTCATTTTCTGATCCCTCTACTAGTTTCAGGCAAATTTGACAAAGAAGATTGTAATACAGCATTAAGCTTCGTATCTGACACAAAAAGCTCCACTAAGTAAAAAAAAAACCGAGAAAAGTGTCTGAACACTTCCCTGTAGTGTGGGAAAAGCAGGGAGAAGATGATGTTCAAACAAACCAATTGGGACAAGGTCCAGGCCACACAGCAGCTATGCACCAGCCTGTCCAGTCAAGTCTGCTCATGTGCAGCTTCTGCCCAGCCACAGCACACAACACCTCTTTCCATCCCACAGGTGAAATGGGGAGGGGAAGAGGAGGGAAAACAATGGCATTGGAATATTGGGAAGGAAGAAACGGCAAGGATTACCATATTGCAGACATTTAAGGAAGTAGAAGAGATGGAGACTGAAGCACTGGGGAAGACAATACACACAACTCAGCACAAGACCAGCTTACTGAAAACTTGGCTTTATTTGGTTAACAGCTTACAGAATTGTACAAAATTCATCACACCTCAGCAGATTGCCTGCATACCTAGGGAGAAAGGGAATGGCCCAGATCAGAAGAGGGAGAGCCTGCCCTGCAGAAGTTATCACTGACAAAGCTGCCTGAAAAGGCTGCAAAATGTTCCAGTAAATTCCCTACTTCAGGATTTTTGTGCAACACCCAACACAGCAATGCACGCCTCTGAGGTACCACCCTGTTGAGGGGCAGAAGGGATACTAATGAGCTGTGACAGTGGAGGTGACACCACCACAGTCCAGCAACTTCCCTGTGGTATCTAGCAGGCACACTGATGGGCCACACTTCACATTTAACTTCATAAACAGTACATAGAATATCTTCCCACTAGTTTGTCCTACTTTTCTTGTTTTAGCCAGGGTGGGTCAAAACACACACCACATTAGTAACAAGGTTTGTCATTCAGTTCCTTATCTTGCATCTCATTATTTCTTTGGCAACAGGAGTTACAGCATTTCCTTTATAAATCAGATATGCTGGAGGGATTGCTAGCCAACATCCATGGCACAGGTTACTGACAGCCAAAGCAAGCCCTTCATGTCCAGGGAAGGGTCTGGGAGGCTGAGAGCCTGTGGAAGTCTGGTCAGCATCTATGGCAGAGAACAGGAATAAAAGCAGAAACAGCTCCTTGCTGTGCAGCAGCATTACCACAGACAAACTCACAGCAGTGGGGTAAATTGCTCTCCCCCAGCTCCACCATCAGATGCCAGGCCTGCCCACCCCTAACCCTGCATCAGAGATGTCCTAGGTTAGAGGCTTATTTTAAAAACTTACATAGCATTGGAAAGATCAGTCTATGCATACCTGAAATGACTGCATTCTCAGCCTGTTGATTTTTTATACAACAATCTGTATATTATCATTTTACTCTTGTTGAGTACTTTTCACAGCTTTAAGAAAAAATATCATGCTGTTGAGTTACTAGATGGCTGATAAAAATTGCTAATTTGAGTTCTAGAATATTTTCAACTATGCTGAGGTTCCTTGCTTTAAGGAATCAAATTACAAATTTGTAAGCATGATAATTCAGCAGACTATCATTTCATTATGGAAGAATTAGAAGCCTGTTTCAAAGTTTTATTAATTCAAGTCATAAAAAAGTTACAGCAACTTCAAATATGTACAAACTGTCATAAAAACGCTGTGTTCAGTTATACAGGAGACAGTCTCGTTATAACATGGCTACAAAATCATTACTTTCAATAAAACCCACAAGGGTAAAATAACCATTTAGGTATGTATGCTCCAAAACCCTAGTAACAGCAGTTGTCAACTCATTTCACCATTATAAAAAAAAAAAAAAAAACTAAATCAGGGAGCAATAGTTAAGTTTCACTTGAGTAAGATGGGGCATTTAACTCTCAAAAAATAGTAAAAGTAGTTGAATGGTTACCAGTCGTGGTTGTTAAGAGTTTTAACATTCAATAAGTGAGCACAATTACCTCCCTTTCAGGAGGAAAGCTTTAAGAGTTAAGATTCATGCCGCCAATGTTTTTTGTTGTCTTCTGGCTTGTCTTCAGTTGATTCAGTTAAGCATTCAGTCCTCTATGCATTTCATTCATTTCCTTCACCTGGAGGGGAGGAGGTAGAGGGAGATCAACATCTAAACTTTAAGACTCAATAAATCATTGGGATTTAACCCAGATTTCAGCCCAGATTTTCATTAGCAAATGGATTTGATGCAACACTAACAGAACCAACCATGACAAACCCACCAGATTAAAAAAAAAAAAAAGCAAAAGCACTAATTAGGGTACATGCAGGAAGCAGACAATACTATTTAGCTACAACATTGTTTGGATTCCTTCACAAAAGGCTCCACACTTGGTGTGAAGTATCATTTGCTATTCCATTGGAAAGCAGCTCCTCAATGGAAACTGCAAGATTCATGCAAATACCTCAGTAAAGAGCTTGTCACAGAACAAGACTATCAGCACTTCCTGTGGATTGCACAGCCCTTTGCTATACATATGTAAAATAGAATTTGCAGTAAAACCGTACCCCACCTCCTCAGCCCTGGGAAAAGCAGCAGATCACCAGCTGCCTTTGAAACTAGTGCAAAACTACACAGAGGTGAAAACTAGCTACAGAATTTGAATATTTTCAGTCTCCTTGAACACATCTGAAACACCCAAAGAGAGCTTTTAACCTACAGCAAACTTTAGGATTTTCTGGATTCTGGTTAACCTCCACCCCACATATGTACCACAAACAGAAATAATTACCTCAGCTTTCACGTACTTCCCTTTCCTCCTCCTTGTAAGGACCTGTAAGAGAAAGACACAATATTTTTTAGAGTCTTGATAAACAAGTAACTTCATCTGTTTTTGACTTGAAAAATAGAAATTCAAAGCTGTCCATTCCCCATCCTTCCAAAGTGAGGTAGGTAGATACAAAAGAGGTTGTCATTCTCAACTGCTTTAAACCAGGAAGCACTTTGTTCACCTCTGTGAATTGTTCCCAGTACTTGTTTTCCGGGTGACACCCTTCAGTTGTAACCTGAAACAGTGACAGTGTCCCCATCACCAGTTCCCCACCTCCAAAGGCTGAAGAAGCAAGCCAATTTACAAAGGAAGACTTTCCGTCAGAGTCCAAACTCTGTATGTCCAAAACATGTATGCTGTTACTTCCCAAATAGTACCACAGCACTGTTCTGCTTGCCAGCTTTTCTAGAACTTACCAGAACAACAATTGCAGACACTATTGCTATTACTACCACTACAATGACAGCAATAAGGCCGGGAGTCAGAGACTTCATAGAAAACTCTGGTGCTATCTCATCAACATAGTAGACCACTGTCTTCTCAAGCTTCACCGGTTCGTTGTCAATACTGATGTTTAGCCCCACGTTATTATGAAAGATGGATTGACCTTTTACCTAAAACATAGGAAAAGAGAGACTTGCTACTTCACATTGTAGCAGGCACTTAGCTTGTCACAAGAATAATTCAGCCTTGCTTCAGCCAGACTCCCGAGTGCAAAGCAAGACACCCACCCAGCCTCTGGCAGACAGACTTAGACTGACACAAGTGACACACTTACATCTTTTTCAAAGTAGTAGGCCACATCAGCTATATCCACATCTTCAGACGATTTTTCTAAGGAATTTTGCTTCAAATCAATAGTAATGTAAGGTTTTTCATACTGCAATAAAAATATAGTCTGGTATTAAGAAGGAGGTACTTTAAATCCAACTATCAAATATTCACAAAAACATTATGATCCAGTTTATGAACTTGCATACTAGATCAAGGTTATGGTTTTTGAACTCAAGCCAACTGTTTACAGTAGGATTCAAATTCCACTTTTTAAGTGAAGCAAAGGAGTTATCTACAGACTAAGGAGAGCAGTATAGTTTCTCAGCATTTCTGTTCAGATACAGCTATTTGCTAACTGCTCACTGTTTTGAGAGCTTCTACTAGAACTCTTGCTGTACTGCATTAGTCAAATCAGAGTTTTCATAGTTACTCACAACAAAAGAAAGTTCTGATACTTTACTAAACATTATGTGCCTCTTACCAGAACATTGGTTATGTAGCGGCCTTTCAGCAGATAACGACTGGTGATGGTCTCATTGAAAAACCTGCAAGGATATGGAAGCCGTAGCTGTTAAAAACAGTATTATTTCACACAGATCATCTGAGAAGTAGAGAAGACCAGTGTAATTGTTTTCTCCAGCAGTCTCTGTGGTGGGTGAACCTCAGCTAACAGCTAAATCCTCACCTAGTCTCTCACTCACTTCCCCCTAACACGATTGGGAAAAGAATCAAAGGGCAAAAGCAAGGGAAAAAAAAAACCCTGTCATCAGTTAAAATAAAGAGTCTGGTAAGTGAAAGGGCTGGGTGGGGGAAATATAAAACCTCAAGTGATCAGTCATCACTGGCAGATCAATGTCCAGCCAACCTCTGAGCAATAGCTACTTGGGAGAAGACTTTCCCCCAGATTTATTGCTGAACAAGTCATTACACAGTATAGGCTACCTGTTCTGTTAATTCAGGTCATCCCTGTCCCCTTCCCAGCCTCTTGCCCATCTCCACCCTACTCACTGGGGCAGCACAGTGAGAGTCTGAGAAGGCCTTAACATTATTTAAGTGTTGTTCAGTAGCAGCTAAAACACTAGTGAATTAATCAACACCATTTTGGTCACTGGTCTAAAACGCAGCACCACACCAACTGCTACTGAGAAAATTAACTCTGCCCCAACCAAACCCACTCTCTTCATACTAGAGTTCAATTAACTCCTAACAGTGAAGATACACTTACTGTAAAATAAACACCTGTGTTAGAGAAAAGAGTTTCACCAGTCTGAAGAGTTCAGAAGAGCTAGAGGGCAGCAGCTTTTGTTCTGGAAAGGAGGTGATCTAATAGCTACAAGTAGGGTTTTGTTTTAACAAAATGAAAAAAAAAAAAAAAAGCCTAAACTCTCATTTTCCTCTTGCTGCTTCTTTGCAGTCCTGCCATTTTTGTCAGTTTGCTTTTCTAACAGTTTCACCTATTACCTTCCATTTCTTTTAGTATATTGATTTGGGGGGGGAACTAGCAATCAATTTTAAATGGAAGGGAATGTCTTTAGCAGTTAATTTGTTTCCAATACAAATTAAAGCAGTTCTATGGAGAATCTGCAGCCTGAAATGTCTTACAAACGAGTTCACAGGTCTGACAACACCTTTAGCAACTGATCAGAAATACACTAGATATCTAGTAGGACATGCATACACTACCATGACATGTTACTATCATCACTTACCTCTTTAAAGATTCAGCATTCAGAGGAGTATCTCTCTCAGCATGTTTCATCTCAATGATGATCCACCTGAAGTACAATGAATATTCTTGAAGTTCACAGATATAAAACATACCAAAAAATCTAACCCCAGGCTAAAAAATCTGAACAATGAGACAAAACCAAAGCAAAGCCTCTTCCAAGCCCATTCAAAGTATCCTTATTTCTGTAGAAGAATACCCAGCAGTAACCCAAATGTTGATTGCTCCATCTTCATTCATCCCTAGTGCATCACTCACACAAGGCAGCCTTATACAGGAATGTTTTCATGTCACAGCACACCCTGTTGAAAGACTTACGTCGTTCTGACTAATTGATTGCACTTCAAGTCTGTATCATGTTTGTCAGTTCTTCTAACTCCAGCTGTATTCACACACCAACAGGTGGTTCCATTGCACTGCTTCGCTTTGAAAGCGCCACTATTTTCACACTCAGGATCATAAAGGCCATCAGTATCTTCAAATGCATCTTTTGGTTTCTCACGACGACCAGATTTTGAGCCCATCACTTCTGCTTTCATCAACAGGCATTTTGAAGTCACTAAAAATAACCAGAAAGTCACGTTATGCATCATCAGACCACACATGTCCAAAACAGAGCTCCGAGTCAGTACAAACACAAGGTCACATCAGCAGCAACCAGATAGTACATAAAATTAATACAATGGGGGTATGTCAGCCTCTCAAGGCAAAAGCCTAACAAGTCCAACCTTAGGACTTAAGAGCTTCCATTTCTCACAGCTAGAGGCTTGTTCCCAGCTTAGCTGAGCTTGAGCCCAGAGTGAAATCTTGTCACAAGGCTCTTTCCCCTTTAGATTGGTAGGAAAAGTGAGGATATGTGCTTGCAAGGAAGCTAAACATTCATCTTCAAGAAATTCTTGCCACAGGATAACAGATATTGAAGAGGAGGCGTGAGCCTACATCGGTACAAGCAGGGAAACCTTAAACGCTTATCTTCCAAGACCTTGGCGACAAGGAAGAAGAGCTCCTTCCTCTCCCCCATTATTTGCCTGGAACTAATCGGTCATTCTCACATATTCCCCAGCACTCTGCGGGTACATCTCATTTCCACCCACCCGGCCGTGCCCTTTTACTCACGGGTATTACAGTCCACGATGGCGCCGGAGCCGATGGCGTCGCAGCGGCATTGACCACTTTCCATCCTGCAGTTGGTGACACGCTTGTTCTTCAGGCAGACACACGCTGTAAGGGAAACACAGCCGTGAGCCGGGCACCGGGGGGCACCGGGGACAGGGAGCCGGGCACCGGGGGGCACCAACACCCGCGCTCCGCCTCCGGTCAGGATGGACAAAGCCGCCTCTCACCGGCCGGGCGTGGCGTGCCCGCGGCCGCCGCTTCCCCCCCGCCACCGCCCTCGCTCGCTTCCCGAACGCGGGACGAGGGCTCCCTGCGCAGCCCTGGGGGTCCCCTCGAGGCGCGGACAAAGAGGCGCGATTTGGGCCGGCCGCTCCTGTCCCCTCCGAGCCCAAGGCGAAAGGGTGGGGGAGAATGGTCTCGCCATTTGGCGGCTCAGGGCGCCCAGCAGAGCGGCCCTACGGAGAGCGGGGGACGGGAAGGGGTCCCGGGGAGAGGGAGCTCGGTCAGGAGCTCGGAGGCCAGAGGGGTGCGGGCACTCACAGTTCTGGGCAGCGGCGGCAGCGCAGAGCAGCAGCAGCAGGAGCGCAGCCCCGCAGAGCGGCTTCATGGCTGGGGCGGGCGGTGGGGCGCGGACAGGCCGGGGGAAAAGTCCTCGGGGACGCGGGCAGAGAGGGAGCGGTGCGTGCACGGCAGCGGCGGCGGAGCGGTGTGAGCCGCCCGACAGGTTCCGCAGGTGGTGGCGGCCGCGCCGCGCCCTCCCGGCTCCGGTTACACCTGGGACGCGCGGGGGGAGCGGCGGCAGCTCCTCCCCCGGGCCCGCCGGGCGCGCTCTTAAACCACCGCCGCCCCCTCCTCCCCCCGCACCTGGGCGAAACTGGATGGGGAAGGGCGGGACCCGCTCCCGGCCCGGCCCCGACAGCGCATCTGCTGCGGAACGGGGAGGGGGAGCGGCGGTGCGAGGAGCGTCCCGAGGCGCGGCCGTGCCCGCTCTTTACCTGGGCTGTGAAACCGAGCCGGCTGTGAAACCGCCCCGCCTGGGCGGAGGGGCGGCGGGCTGGGGCCGCGGCGGGGAGCCGGGGGACAGCTACCCCCGCCGTCGAGGGGAAAGTGTTAGTCACCGTCGGGAGCTCCCGGGTGTGTTTGCCCCGTGACACACGGGCAGGGGGAGCAGGGTCCCCGTCCCTCCCGGCTCGGGGCTTCCCGCGCCCGCCGCCGACCTTCGGAGCGCCGGGGCAGTCCCGAGGTCTTTGCCCTGGCCTGGGATCCCCGGGCTCTTCCCTCGGGACAGGCGGAGAGTGTTTTCACTCTGCTCTTGGCGAGCTGAGAGCAAGCAGGGAATACTCACACTTTATAGTGAACTTTGTTCGCATCCGGGGCTGCCGTGTGAGCTACTGTGTAGCTGTGCTTGACATAAATTCTGATAATTCCTCAGTAAACTGAAAAACAGAACGCTTACCTGTGCAGAATGAACACTTTTGTAAGGACCTTTACTGATTATGTATTTTGTTTTTATTTTCGGTTTCCGTTCCTTTCCAGAATACATAGTAGATGTCTCTACCTCAGGGTTACTCTGAAGATTCGCTCCTGGCGCTACAGTATCCTCATTTCCTCGCTCAGGAAAAAGTAGTCCTGAGTGCTTTGTCTCTGAGAAGCGCAGCTTTGTGGGAACCTACAAAATGGGAGGTAGTGCCAGAGCCTGCCAGGTTGCCGAGGAGGAAACACGGGAAAGCCGGCTGCAGGTTTTAAGATGGCTTTCCAAAGTGTAAAAGCAATGCCAAAATGGAAGACAAAAGATAGGTATGGTACACCGGAAATGCTTGATGAACCTTGAGTTTATTTATTCAGTTAAAAAATCTGCATAGATCTTTCTAAAAGATATATTAGCACCCTAGAAAAACAAGTTCTTTTAGTACGGGATAAGACCAGAATGACATTCTGCTCAAAGACTTGAAGCTTATTCTTACCAGTTTGCTGTACAATAAAAACATGTTCCTGCTTTTGTACTTGCAGACATTAAGTGCAGACAGTAAGTGCAACTGAAAACTTTTTATGTTCGGAGGGAAGTTGCAGTTGAACTATCATAGTGTTTTTTTCTCTGTGCACAGCTGTGTTTGTGTTGTACCCGGTTTTTACCTCTATGTTGTTTTTGTCTCTAGTGCCCTGCTGCTGACTCAGATGGGTCCAAGTTAAAGGACTGCTCCTTGGATTTGCCCGTGGTACAGTCACAATCAGCTTTGCAGCATTTTTCTTGATTCTTTTTGTGGTTTTTGCACAGTTTCTGATTGATAAGTATATTCTTCTGATACACTTGTCAGAGACTCAGAAGGAAAGCCTGGCCTAGCAGTATGAAAACTTGAGAAGACTAAAGTCTCAGATATGGATTTCTTGCATCACTTTCATCAAGTGATGGCATTTTCCAGGAAGCTGACTAGGAGCAATAAGCTCAAAAATGCCTGCCTTCCTATAAACCTCTTATTCCATGTTAAAGTACTGGTTGGTTTGAGATGAGAGGAGCTCTCTTGTCATTATCAAATTGCCAAGCTGACCTACGTAAGCCTTGATAATGACCAATAAATTTTATGATGGGCTTTTGCCTTTATTTTATTTATTTTAATGTGTAAATGTTGAAGAATAGAACAGGCTGTGTACGTCTAGTCCTCTTTCTTCTCCTGATCCGTGTTCTGGGTAGGTAAACCCCTGTGCCTAGTTTTACAAATCCAAGCAGTCTTGAAATCTTGGAGTGACTGCTACTGAAAGTTGCCCTGCTTCTCCACAACCAGCTTCAAATATCACATAGATATCTTGTCAAAAAATAGCTATAACCTTTAGTATCTAGGGACTGAATTGTCTTAGGGTATTTGTGTGGACTAGTGCCTCTCACAGTGTGTTTTGGCACTGTCGTGTTGTGACATGTAGCAAAATGTGAGTAAGCGCCTGTAGAAAGTACTGTGATAACTCTTTTGCAAACACAGGTGCATCATGCTACTTTTTTGTGGTGTAGCATTTAATTTGGCTCCAGTTTGCAGGGGCTAAAAAGGACCTGCTACCTGTGATCTCAACAGATTTCTAAATGTGAAGAAATTATTGTTGAAGTGTTGCTCATTGTTTTTGAAGGAGAGGTGCTTTACATGAGGTCATTCACCAGTAAGGCAGTGGAAATGAGGGACCATTCACAGCAGAGTTAATCTTACCCTCTTTCCAGGTTATTTTGCGGGCAGCTTCTCAGTAGAAACAAAGCCAGTGGAGCAGACATGAGGCTAAACAGGTACAAGGGCCTGAGTGTTGAAGTTTTACACAGGTACCTTGGTGTCTGGGGGGTTGGGAGGAAGTGTCATTTCTGTACTTTTTGTGATGCTTGTACCCCTTTGTGCTGAAATACATGATGTATTCAATGGCTATTTTATATTAAAATTCCTCAGCATACAGCTGTATAGGTAAAGCCTTGCCTATTGGTTATAAACAGCATAATTTTATCAACGGTTGGAGATACCCCCTCTTATCAAACAGCTGACTGCTGATTAGGCAGTGCAGTGTAGGCTAGTTGTGGTTTACTCTTATTAAAGCATAATTACAGCTCAGACAAATTGTAATTTAAATGCTACAAGTGCATTACTGGCACTACTATATAGCAAAAAGAAAAAGAAGTTTTGGTCACCAAATTCTAAATTAAGGAAGTATGTAAGCTTACTTTAGGAAAACTCATGTGATCATGTATTTTTCTACTTTTGCTCTGTAATTTACATTGGATCCAGAACTATTTGTAGAATAAAGTATTAGTTCACTAAAACACTCAAGAGGCATTGACTCCAGGGGAAGATTTTCTATTGACTTGAGTGAATTGTGAATCAGATCCAAGGAGATAAATCCAGCTCTTTCTGAAGCCAGTAAGAATTAGCGTGATATTGGGATATGATGTGAGGTCATTTCCAGGTCTTCACTAGGAATTAGGTAAGTGGGCTTTGTGAAACTCCCAAGGGACAGAATCTGCTTTCAGGGAAAGTCGCAAGGATGTCTGAGTCACTCCCGAAGTATCAGGAAATGATGCGAGGTGGGGCTGTGACATGCACTGTGGTCAGCAGATCAGAGAGATGAGTGGAGAGAGCATGATCAATGCCACTGGGGTATTTGGCAATCTCTGTCTAACTGGGATTCTTCAGAGGCTGCAAGCCTGATTGGTTTTGGGTGTACCCTCCTAAAGATAACCAATCTCATCCCTAGAAAATAGGTCATGTATGATACCAAATTGTGAAGCATAGTCTTATTAGTCTTTTTCTAACAAAATTAATGACTTTTGAAAATTTATAACTTTTAACAGGTTAAGGCTGACAAAAATAGAAACAACCAGAGACATTGATGCTCAAAAGTGCCAGCAGGTATTTTGGACAGCAGACATAGCTACATGTATCATTATATTATAGACTTGCTCAGGATCTTTTTATTAGGTCAGCTTCAGAATGTTTGCATTCAACTTCTTTTGTCAAGCTTCATTATCTGCATTGAATGAAACCTTAAAAGAACTGTAGGAAGAGGACAATATTGAGAAATTGTGTGCAGTACCTTGTCCACTATGTGTTTCTGAAGATTCCATGTTGTCACAAATTGACACATACTGCTGCTCAAAGGACTGATAAAACTGGTGCTTCTGTGTATTTTATTTTTCCTGCCTGTTTGAAAACCACCAGAAAACAGGTAAGTCTTGTTACACTGATTTGAATAATGAGAACATTTGGAGTCCTGGAGAACTTAAATGTCTTGGCAGGCAAGAGGTGGTCAAGTATAGAGCCAATAAAAAAAAATAAATGAGCAGTCATGCCTTTATGCTAGACTAACTACTGCCAAACACTGTAAAAAAACAAAAAAACCCCAAAAATCCAAAAAAACAAAACCAGAATAAAAAGCTATTTTAGACATTTGGGTCTTTTTGATCTGTTTCTAGATCATGACTTTTTTTTTTTAATAATAACATAGTGTTTGTGCGTTTTGACAAAACTATCATGCACACTGAAGATGGAAATTAGTTCAGAGGCAGTGGCAATCTCCACAAACCTGTCCTTGGCTTCAGAAGCCCACAACTTGGGTCTCTACCAGGTTGGAGACCTTTGAAAGTAAGAGTAGCTATGAAGAGGCACAGAGCTGTTGGTTCATAATTTCATAAAACTAGACAGGGTGTAGCCACAGGAGAGAAGTGCTCATGCAATTAATGTATGTTCTATTTGTGTCTTTGAGGATTATAGAAACCAACCTGTCTGATATGTTGTGGCATCCTCACCTCTCTGCCAGGGTTTAGTCTTACCTCTAGAGGGTGGGGTCAGTAACAGGTTTGTCACCCTCATCTTTACACACCTGAAAATGCATCTCCATGGCTCTAATGCTGATAGCATTTTTAGAACATCTATTGTCAGCATTCAAAGCTGCTTAAAATAAACAGCATTAGACGTAAAAACTAATAACTTCTCATCCAGACTACTGCCTTCAAATTTCATACTGTGCCTAATCCCTCAAATTTGTAGCATTTGGAAGGGCTCAGAAGAAAACATGAAATCACAAGTTGTAGTAAAATAAGCTCTGTTTACATTAAAATTGTTTCAGTTTTGGCATCCAAGATATTCCCCGCCCCCTTTAGCTATTCTCTGTGAAAGAAGATACAGACGGAACTTTGTCAAAACGCTTGTTGAAAACTGTTTGAGAGAGCCCTAAGTTGTTTTTAACATGCTTTTTATCGTGT